TTTGAATCAGTGCCAGTGATAGAGTGTGACAACTGTGCCATAAAAGTAACTGTGAGTAGTAGATCTGTAGTTATATTTCGTATATATATGCCCACAAACTCTTATGAAAACTTACCTGAGTACTGTACGTGTCTCGGTTCGATCCGAACCGATAGAAATAGAGGAAAATAAGGGAATTGAAGCTTTTTATATATTAAGGGACTTTAATGATCATCCTAGGGAATTACTTTATAATGAAATGATAGATTTTTGTAATGAAGAGACCTGGATTTGTGTGGACGCAAGTATATGTGATAAAAATACATTTACTTTTCATAGTGAGGCTCATGGTTGTAACAGGTGGCTGGACCACTGCATAGTCACTCATTCTGCGCGTGAAACAGTAGTAAGCGTGTCTGTTAATTATGATGTATTTTGGTCAGACCACTACCCACTTGTGGTGGAATGTAATTTTAATAAATTTAAGCCTAAGGTTGTGGAACAGGTAATGGGGAAATCTGTGGACCGTGTTACTCGGGGCAACAGGACTCCACAACAGATAAAACTGTATCACGATTTTTGTCACACAAACTTGAGAATTATAGATCTTCCAGAGGAACTCAGAGACTGTTGTGATAAATTTTGTAGTAACAAGGAACATCACGCTGTACTTTATAATATGTACGGTAATATTATAAATATACTATCACTGGCAGTAATTCTTACATATAGGGATACATGTAGAAAAAGGGAGGTTACGTGAGGGGGGTGGAATAAGCACGTCACGGGCTCACATCGGGAGGCGCGGCTTAAATTTCAGGAGTGGGTGATGGATGGGCAGGGGTCCAGGGGTCCAGGGGTCGCGTATTTGAAGAGATGTCAGAATCTAGAAAGCATTTTAAGGCCAAATTAAAATGGTGTCAAAACAGACAAGAACAGCTAAAGATGAATATTATTGCGACAAATCACTCTCCTAAAGACTTTAAAAGCTTCTGGAAGAACACAAACAAATTGAATGTTAAGCCGAGTCTTCCCGTGAGTTTTGGGGGTGCTTATGACGACAAGGATATTGCGGATGCATTCAGATGCAATTTTACTGTAAGGTCACCCTTAAATGTCGTTTCAGGTTTGAATTTGAGCGAAGCTGAGACTATCATGACAGAACGAAATGAAAAGATACCTGCAAAAAAATAGAAAAAATAATTAAAGAGATGGTAAGAGGAAAATCGCCTGGTTATGATGGTCTCAGCATCGAACACTTCAGATATGCTGGGGTGCATCTTCCGCGAGTCCTTTCACTGATTTACAGCCTGTGTTTGGGTCACTCTTACTTACCCGAGCCGCTGATGAGGACTATTGTAGTACCCGTTGTTAAAAATAAAACTGCGGACACATCCGACATGGGTAATTACCGACCTATCTCGCTTGCAACCACTGCAGCCAAGGTGTTTGACAGTGTGTTAAATGAGTGTCTTAACAAATACGTACTAATAAACGATGCACAACTTGGGTTTAAGCCGAATTTATCGACGGAGAGTGCCATTTACTGTCTGAAACACACTGTCAAATACTACACCGTAAGGCGGACGCCGGTGTACGCGTGTTTCCTCGACTTATCGAAAGCTTTTGACCTGGTCTCATACAATATGCTGTGGCGCAAGTTGTGGGACGCGGGTGTGCCGGCGGAGTACACGGCTCTACTAAGATACTGGTATGCTAACCAGCGTAACCAGGTGAGGTGGGTTGGAGCTCTGTCGGAATAATACAGGCTGGAATGCGGTGTAAGGCAGGGTGTCTTAAGCTCTCCACTCTTGTTCAACTTGTATGTAAATCAACTGATTGAACGACTTAGCAGCACACATGTTGGCTGCCACATCGATGACATATGTGTCAACAACATAAGCTATGCTGACGACATGGTGCTGCTCAGTTTTCTATAGCAGGACTGAGGAAACTGCTTTCTATGTGCGAGATATATGCGGAGGAGCATGGTCTTAAATACAACTCAAAAAAGAGTGAAATATTAGTATTTAAGGCACCAAAACGGAAGCCACGACATGTGCCACCCGTATGTCTCGATGGTGTACCTCTGAAAGTCGTACAGAAGTTAAAATATTTCGATCACATAGTTACGAGCGATCTAGGAGATGATGAGGATATTAAACGAGAGCGCAGAGCGTTGTCGGTAAGGGGCAATATGCTTGCCCGCAGGTTCGCCCGGTGCACTGCAGACGTGAAAGTAACTTTATTTAAAGCGTTCTGTCAGTCTTTTTATACCGGTGGTCTCTGGGTGACTTATACGCGTCCGACCTGCAGCGTCCTGCGTGTTCAATATAACAACGCCTTTAGGATGCTGTTGAGGCTGCCGTAGCGATGTAGTGCCTCTAAAATGTTCACAAACGCACACACTAATGACTTTTTCGCCATAATGCGTAGAAGAGCAGCGTCTCTCTTGCAGCGCTTACGTACCAACAACAACGGCATCCTAAGGGTAATTACTGCCAGGCTCAACTGCCCCATACTGAACCACTGTATGACGGTAGCTATTGGGCGAAAAAATAATTTGTACATAATTCACATTAACTAACAATACTAACTTAGAAGTTAAGAAAAATTGTTACTAACATACTAACAATCTATGGATGTTCCTTGTGTCTGAAATAAACACTTATTGTTATTATTATTGTGGGGTATCTATATAGTTTTCTCATCTGGTTGGGTGCTATAAATATATAATTGTAAATGAAAATGAAAAGATAAATATACATAAATATCAATAACATAAAATAAATATAAAAGTACATAAATAAATAAAAGCCCAACCAGATGGAGGCCCTCGGCAGGGGAGACCAAACGGCCGAGGGTTAGGGGGGAAAGGGAAAGAAACCGGCGGACGATGCGGGCGGTATCGAGGAGCACCGCCTTCTGCATTTGAGCCTGGAGCGGTCCGCCACGTAGTCCCAGCCGCCTCATATGACCCGAGAGGCTGACTGGGATTAGCCCATTCGCAGAGACGACTACAGGAATAATTTCGGTCGGCAGACCACCCCACATGTCGGTCACCTCGTGAGCCAGGTCCAGATATTTTGTTTGCTTATCTGTTTCGGCTTTCACAAGGTTCTCGTCATACGGAACGGTAATGTTGACCAAAAATATCCTTGACTGTGCCCGGTCCATCAGCACAATATCAGGCTTATTCGCAAGAATAGTCCTGTCTGTGATGATGGCCCGGTCCCAATAGAGCCTGGCGCGATCATTTTCGAGCACGGCTTCCGGCAAGTACTTGTAATACGGCAATTTCCGATCCACGAGACCGTATTTCAGAGCGAGCTCCTGGTGTAGAATTCTGGCTACTAGGTTGTGCCTGTGCAAGTACTCAGAGTTAGAAAGCGCCGAACAACCGCAGATAACATGCCTAAGTGACTCACCGGGATGGCGACAAGCTCGACAGATGTCGACGGTGCCATCCTTTAGGATGTATCTCCGATCGTTGTTGGTCTTAATAACCTGATCCTGTATTGCACAGACAAAACCCTCGGTTTCCCCGAAGAGATCACCAAAGCGTAGCCAGTGGAGGGAGGCTACTGTGTCTACGAAAGGCTCATGTAGAGCCTTGTAGAACCTCCCGTGGAGCTCCTTCTCCTTCCATACGGTCTCCCGGTCGGAAATGCTCTGCACTGCCAGGTCTTGCCATTGCTCGTTGGCTAAGGATAGAGGGGTAAGTCCTTTATCACAAGAAATGACGTCCTTATAAAATGGATCATCCGATCTCGCCAGGAAGTAATCACGGAGGCTGCACACCTCGCGATTAGGCATGGTGAGCGCGCTCAAGAAGCCACGACCACCATGCTTCCGCGGCGAGTACAGCCTCATTACCGACGATCTCGGATGATGCATCCTATGGGACGTCATGGTAGTGCCGACTTTTCTATACAGGGCGTTAAGTTCAGTCTGAGTCCACCTGGGTATGCCAAAGGTATACATGAGGACAGGCAAGACCCAGCCGTTATATTCGTGTGCCTTATTCACACCGGACAAAAGGCTGTTAAGCTCTTTGGTCAAGCGTGCATAAAACACGTCGCAAACTGACTGTTTCATACCAGTCTCATCGATACCGATGTTTTGTGACATACCTAGGTATATTTCAGCCTCGGAAAGGGTTATTAAGTTGACGGGAATAGATAAGTCTATGCCCTCAGAGTTAGCAACCCTTCCCCTTTCAACATGGAGGACTGCACACTTATCCGTCCCAAGCTCCATTCCAATGGAATTGCTAAATTCACAAGTGATGTTTAGCAATTCCATAAGATGGGAGCGACTGGAGGCGAATAACTTGAGGTCATCCATATATAAAAGGTGGGTCACTTTTGTCCCTCCTTTCCGTAGCTGAAATCCCCTCCCGGAGCCCTCCAGTAAGGTACTGAGAGGGTTCAGAGAGAGAGGCAGAACCAGATTGGACTCAGACAATAGCCCTGGAAGATACCCCTTCTAATCCTTATGTGGTTCTCCGCAGCCATTATCCGCTCACCCAGATGACAAAGGATCGTACTCCACTGCCCCATACACTGCTCGAAGAAGTCTCTAACTGTACAGTCTATCTTGTACAGCTCGTAGACTCTCTTTAGCCATGTATGGGGCACCGAGTCGAATGCATTTCTGTAGTATATCCAGGCGAAGGAGAAGTTCCGACGGTTGCGTTTCACCACTTTGCCAATGACCGCGTCAATGAGGAGTGGTTCCTTGGTTCCACGACCTCCGCCCTGACATCCATTTTGAGCGCGCGACATCACCTGATTTGAGTCCAGGTGACAAGTGATTCTCGCGCTCAAAATGGATGTTATTGTCTTGTATATGGTCGGTAGACATGTGATGGGGCGGTATTTGCTCGGGTCTGTGGTACCCTGGTCTTTAGGAACCAAATGAGTGATCCCAGTAGTGAAGAGGATTGGGAGCGACTTCTGGTTGAGAGCCTCTTGAAACTGTCGGGCCAGCACAGAGTGACACACCATGAACCCCCTCAGTCAGTAGTGATGCAGCCCGTCAAGCCCCGGACTTTTCCAGTTCGGGGCCCTACGCACCGCCTCAGCTACGTCATCCGGCGTTATGATGACGGGGTCCATGGGCGTAATACCCGCACACTGACTCGCCACAACTTCCGTCCAAGGGCCCTCGCTGTGGTTTACGGGCTCTGACCTCAGGCCGCGCCAGAATGCTACAGTGTCGGCCTGATTCGGTGCTGGACCCGTTCCACTTACCATTGGTCGCTCCAATGATTGATAGAGCCTCTTCTGATCACTCTGGAAGAGACGATTCTGGTTGAACCGTGTCGACCTCTCGGTATATCGCCGAATCCTCTTTCCCCAAGCAGCGATTCTCTGCTTCAGATCATCTATGCGCTCCGTCAGTTTTTTCGTTATATCCGGCTGGGACAAACTGACATTTGTCCCAGCAAACGCCATCCTGACGGTGCGCACAATTCTTGGCCTGTTGTTGCCTGATCTGAAGCATATCAGTCTGCCGATGAGAGCTCTAGCCGTTGCGATACGTTCCTCAATTCTTCTTCTCCATGCTGGGATAGCGCTACTATAGCCAGTAGCGCGTCCAGCCGTGGAAACCTTGGCGACTATGATACGGCAGACTGCCAGCGCGGCGCCCAAAATAATTGAGTCCGTCACGCAAAGGTCCCGGCTGGCTTCCAAATAGGTCACCAGCATTGGGTTCAGAGCCCTCACGACAGCCCGATTCCGCTTGCTTAGGGCTATGCGGGGAAGTCGCGGTCGATTTTCGAGAGGCGTACTGCGCGTTTCCACAATCGCCTCTTCCAATGTACTCCTCATATGCTCTAATTCCAGTTCCTGGGCGACTGTTCCATCATCGTTTGAATCAACCACAACTGGGGTATTCACGGCGGCATCCACGTTTGCGGGTTGCTCTACCATTTGTGGCGCCGCATCCTCAGCCGTAGCATTCTCATCCGACGAGGGAACAGCCTCACGTCGTAGCCGTTCGAGTTCGGCGACATCAAATATATTTGAGCGCAAGATATACCAAACTCGGTCTGCCAGGTTTTGCTCTGTGACGGTTAAAGATGGCTCCAGCTCAGCAAAAAGACGATGCATCCTAGCCCGATACGCCAAACATCCAGTTTCTTCGCCTTTTGCCCTAAAGTACGCCCGCAGTGCGTTTGCATTCATTGCTTGTAACCAACGCATGCGACGTGCTCCACCAGCGGCGGGTGCCGCTTGCTGAGTCCGAGAATACCCAGCCGACACCAAGCCATCTGGTGGGGATGATGGATGCGGAGGGCTGCTAGGTGACCGTGCAGCTCCTCGCGCTCGGCTGGCGGCCCGCATGCTACCGCGTCCAGCGCCAGCTCCAGACGCGCCCCGGCGACCCCCAGGCAGCGGCCCTTTGCGCACTATCTTCTTATCCATCATCCATTATTTGGGCGTCCATTAACGGGAGACTCCCAGGCCCGGCACCGTTTCGTGTGAAGCCATAAGCACAAACGGGCCTCTGCACCCTAAATTCTGCCGAGGCACGGCGCTCACACCTCTCGCAAGGCGCTGACTGACTGCGTTGACGTAGCAGTTTTGTCACTTAACTGTTACGTCAGCGGGCGATGGGGTCGTCAATTCCCTACGCCTTATTATTATTATTTTGGGGTATCTATATAGTTTTCTCATCTGGTTGGGTGCTATAAATATATAATTATAAATGAAAATGAAAAGACATATATACATAAATATCAATAACATAAAATAAATATAAAAGTACATAAATAAATAAAAGCCCAACCAGATGGAGGTCCTCGGCAGGGGAGACCAAACGGCCGAGGGTTAGGGGGGAAAGGGAAAGAAACCGGCGGACGATGCGGGCGGTATCGAGGAGCACCGCCTTCTGCATTTGAACCTGGAGCGGTCCGCCACGTAGTCCCAGCCGCCTCAGATTACCCGAGAGGCTGACTGGGATTAGCCCGTTTGCAGAGACGACTACAGGAATAATTTCGGTCGGCAGACCACCCCACATGTCGGTCACCTCGTGAGCCAGGTCCAGATATTTTGTTTGCTTGTCTGTTTCGGCTTTCACGAGGTTCTCGTCATACGGAATGGTAATGTCGACCAAAAATATCCTTGACTGTGCCCGGTCCATCAGCACAATATCAGGCTTATTCGCAAGAATAGTCCTGTCTGTGATGATGGCCCGGTCCCAATAGAGCCTGGCGCGATCATTTTCGAGCACGGCATCCGGCAAGTACTTGTAATACGGCAATTTCCGATCCACGAGACCGTATTTCAGAGCGAGCTCCTGGTGTAGAATTCTGGCTACTAGGTTGTGCCTGTGCAAGTACTCAGAGTTAGAAAGCGCCGAACAACCGGAGATAACATGCCTAAGTGACTCACCGGGATGGCGACAAGCTCGACAGATGTCGACGGTGCCATCCTTTAGGATGTATCTCCGATAGTTGTTGGTCTTAATAACCTGATCCTGTATTGCACAGACAAAACCCTCGGTTTCCCCGAAGAGATCACCAAAGCGTAGCCAGTGGAGGGAGGCTACTGTGTCTACGAAAGGCTCATGTAGAGCCTTGTAGAACCTCCCGTGGAGCTCCTTCTCCTTCCATACGGTCTCCCGGTCGGAAATGCTCTGCACTGCCGGGTCTTGCCATTGCTCGTTGGCTAAGGATAGAGGGGTAAGTCCTTTATCACAAGAAATGACGTCCTTATAGAATGGATCATCATCTGCACACTTCGCGATTATGAATGGTGAGCGCGCTCAAGAAGCCACGACCACCATGCTTCCGCGGCAAGTACAGCCTCATTACCGACGATCTCGGATGATGCATCCTATGGGACGTCATGGTAGTGCGGACTTTTCTATCCAGGGCGTTAAGTTCAGTCTGAGTCCACCTGAGTATGCCAAAGGTATACATGAGGACAGGCATGACCCAGCCGTTATATGCGTGTGCCTTATTCACACCGGACAAAAGGCTGTTAAGCACTTTGGTCAAGCGTGCATAAAACACGTCGCAAACTGACTGTTTCATACCAGTCTCATCGATACCGATGTTTTGTGACATACCCAGGTATCGGTATGTTTCAGCCTCGGAAAGGGTCCTTAAGTTGACGGGCATAGATAAGTCTACGCCCTCAGAGTTAGCAACCCTTCCCCTTTCAACATGGAGGACCGCACACTTATCCGTCCCCAGCTCCATTCCAATGGAATTGCTAAATTCACAAGTGATGTTTAGCAATTCCATAAGATGGGAGCGACTGGAGGCGAATAACTTGAGGTCATCCATATAGAAAAGGTGGGTCACTTTTGTCCCTCCTTTCCGTAGCTGAAATCCCCTCCCGGAGCCCTCCAGTAAGGTACTGAGAGGGTTCAGAGAGAGGCAGAACCAGATTGGACTCAGACAATCGCCCTGGAAGATGGGGTATCTTCCAGGGCGATTCTTATCCTTATGTGGTTCTCCGCAGCCATCATCCGTTCGCCCAGATGACAAAGGATCGTACTCCACTGCCCCATACACTGCTCGAGGAAGTCTCTAACTGTACAGTCTATCTTGTACAGCTCGAGGACTCTCTTTAGCCATGTATGGGGCACCGAGTCGAATGCCTTTCTGTAGTCTATCCAGGCGGCGGAGAAGTTCCGACGGTTGCGTTTCACCACTTTGCCAATGACCGCGTCAATGAGGAGTGGTTCCTTGGTTCCACGACCACCGCCCCGACATCCATTTTGAGCGCGCGACATCACCTGATTTGAGTCCAGGTGACAAGTGATTCTCGCGCTCAAAATGGATGTTAGTGTCTTGTATATGGTCGGTAGACACGTGATGGGGCGGTATTTGCTCGGGTCTGTGGTACCCTGGTCTTTAGGAACTAAATGAGTGATCCCAGTAGTGAAGAGGCTTGGGAGCGACTTCTGGTTGAGAGCCTCTTGAAACTGTCGGGCGAGCACAGAGTGACACACCATGAACCCCTTCAGCCAGTAGTGATGCAGCCCGTCAAGCCCCGGACTTTTCCAGTTCGGGGCCCTACGAACCGCCTCAGCTACGTCATCCGGCGTTATGATGACGGGGTCCATGGGCGTAATACCCGCACACTGACTCGCCACAACTTCCGTCCAAGGGCCCTCGCTGTGGTTTACGGGCTCTGACCACAGGCCGCGCCAGAATGCTACAGTGTCGGCCTGATTCGGTGCTGGACCCGTTCCACTTACCATTGGTCGCTCCAATGATTCATAGAGCCTCTTCTGATCACTCTGGAAGAGACGATTCTGGTTGAACCGTGTCGACCTCTCGGTATATCGCCGAATCCGCTTTCCCCAAGCAGCGATTCTCTGCTTCAGATCATCTATGCGCTCCGTCAGTTTTTGCGTTATATCCGGCTGGGACAAACTGACATTTGTCCCAGCAAACGCCATCCTGACGGTGCGCACAATTCTTGGCCTGTTGTTGCCTGATCTGAAGCATATCAGTCTGCCGATGAGAGCTCTAGCCTTTGCGATACCTTCCTCAATTCTTCTTCTCCATGCTGGGATAGCGCTACTATGGCCAGTAGCGCGTCCAGCCGTGGAAACCTTGGCGCCTATGATACGGCAGACTGCCAGCGCGGCGCCAAAAAGAATTGAGTCCGTCTCGCAAAGGTCCCGGCTGGCTTCCAAATAGGTCACCAGCATTGGGTTCAGAGCCCTCACGACAGCCCGATTCCGCTTGCTTAGGGCTATGCGGGGAAGTCGCGGTCGATTTTCGAGAGGCGTACTGCGCGTTTCCACAATCGCCTCTTCCAATGTACTCCTCATATGCTCTAATTCCAGTTCCTGGGCGACTGTTCCATCATCGTTTGAATCAACCACAACTGGGGTATTCACGGCGGCATCCACGTTTGCGGGTTGCTCTACCATTTGTGGCGCCGCATCCTCAGCCGTAGCATTCTCATCCGACGAGGGAACAGCCTCACGTCGTAGCCGTTCGAGTTCGGCGACATCAAATATATTTGAGCGCAAGATATACCGGTGCCAGGTTTTGCTCTGTGACGATTAAAGATGGCTCCAGCTCAGCAAAAAGACGATGCATCCTAGCCCGGTACGCCAAACATCCAGTTTCTTCCCCTTTTGCCCTAAAGTACGCCCGCAGTGCGTTTGCATTCATTTCTTGTGACCAACGCATGCGACGTGCTCCACCAGCGGCGGGTGCCGCTTGCTGAGTCCGAGAAGACCCAGCCGACACCAAGCCTTCTGGTGGGGATGATGGATGCGGAGGGCTGCTAGGTGACCGTGCAGCTCCTCGCGCTCGGCTGGCGGCCCGCATGCTGCCGCGTCCAGCGCCAGCTCCAGACGCGCCCCGGCGACCCCCAGGCAGCGGCCCTTTGCGCACTATCTTTTTATCCATCATCCATTATTTGGGCGTCCATTAACGGGAGACGCCCAGGCCCGGCACCGTTTCGTGTGTAGCCATAAGCACAAACGGGCCTCTGCACCCTAAATTCTGCCGCGGCACGGCGCTCACACCTCTCGCAAGGCGCTGACTGACTGCGTTGACGTAGCAGTTTTGTCACTTAACTGTTACGTCAGCGGGCGATGGGGTCGTCAATTCCCTACGCCTTTTTATTATTATTATTATTATTATTTTTATCACATATATTATCACAAAACTATAATATTATAAATATAAATACAATCTATATAAATAATATTATTATTTCAGTTATTATCTACCGCGGCGAGGAATTCTAAGCCATCGGTGAAGTTAGGCATCCAAAGATAGGAACCTTCTTACTATTCGAGCCGTATTTAATTAGGCCGATTTTTGAATTAATGCCTTCAGCCATTTGCCCAAAACTAACTTGGACAGATAATCGTCTATATTTTTACCAATAAGCCCCAAACAACTATTAGTACAATAATAGTAGAATCAACGTCCCACACAGCGACAATCTCATGAGCCAGGTCGATATATTTAACTTTTTTATCATTCTCTGCTTTTACGAGATTCTCGTCATGAGGAACACTGATATCCACTATTATTGCCTTGCGTGTAGTTCGGTCTATCACTACAATGTCAGGTTTATTTGTCACTATAAACCTGTCTGTGATAATTGACTGATTCCAGTACAGTGTGACACTTCTATTTTCAAGGACTGGCTTTGGTTCATACTTATAATATGGAACGTCCTGTTGAGTAAAACCAAATTTAACGGCAAGCTGTTGGCGTATTATTCTAGCTACTTGGTTATGTCTGTGTAAATACTGACAATTTTATAGTTGTGAACAACTGGAAATAACATGTCTGAGGGACTCTCCAGGGTGGTGACATGCGCGACATACGTCAACTGTGCCGTCCCTCAGAATGTATCTCCGGTAGTTGTTCGTTTTATTTACTTCATCTTGTATTGCACAGATAAAACCTTCAGTTTCTGCAAAAAAGTCACCCAATTGTAACCAATGTACTGATGCAACCATGTCTACACAAGGATTAGTCAATGCTTTAAAAAATCGACCATGTAGTTGTTTGTCATTCCAAACCTTTTTGCGTTCATCCATAGTCATAGTATGAGGCCTCTGCCAGTCCTTTGCCGACATATTAAGCGGAGTTAAAGATTTGTCATTAATCACTACGTCATTATGAATGTGTGTCTTTTTTTTTAATAAAATAGTCTCTGAGGTTGTATACTTCACGGTTGTGCAGGTTTTTAATGTTTAATAAGCCCCGTCCACCATCTTTTCTTGGACGATACAACCTCATGTCAGATGATCGTGGGTGGTGCATTCTGTGTGTAGTCATTAATGTACGGACTCGTCTATCTAAGTCATCCAATTCTGTTTGAGACCACCTTGTAACACCAAAAGTATATAGAAGGCTAGGTATACTCAGGAGTTATATGCTCTAATTTTGTTTCCGCCGGATAAATTACTTTTGATAACTTTTTTTTAATCTTGACATAAATTTTACTTTTGAATTTTCTTTAATATTTTTGTCATTAATTCCTAGTGCTTCTGCCATGCCCAAGTATTTATAGGTTTCTGTTTCAGAAAGAGAACTGAAGTGTAAGTCATTTATAATTGCAAATTTATTACAATCTTTAATTTTGCCCTTATTTACGTTGATGACAGCACATTTATCTATTCCAAATTCCATTCTAATATCATTGTTGAAACTATGTGTTAATTTCAACAATAATAGTAGATTACTCTCTTTTGTATGAATAGTTTGAGATCATCCATATAAAGTAGATGTGAGATCGGTGAGTTTTCTTTTCGAAACCGAAACCCTAATCCGGATTCCTCAATAGCAGTGCTTAAAGGATTCAGGGCTATACAAAACAAAGTTGGGCTCAAACTATCTCCCTGGAATATACCCCGTTTAATATTTATAGAGTCTATCGAACTACTTTGCCACTCATCTGGTAGATTTAGGATAGTGTTCCACTGACCCATTAATTTACTTAAAAACTTACAAATTTTGTTATCTATTTTATATATTTGTAAAACTCTCTTTAGCCATGAATGTGGAACAGAGTCATATGCCTTTTTGTAATCCACCCAAGCAGCGGACATATTTTTGCGATTACGATAGACTTGTCGGCAAATAGCGGTATCGATGAGAAGAAGTTCTTTACAACCACGTAATCCTTTCCGACATCCGTTCTGTGCAGTTGAAAGAATGTTATTATTTTCCAAATGTTTATAGATCTTGTTATTCAAAATTGCAGTTATTAATTTATATACAGTTGAAAGGCATGTTATAGGTCGGTAATTTTTATTATTATTATTATAAAAAGTAACACAATAAATATTTTAAAAATCGTTTATCAGTTGAGAGACTACCATTTTAAAGCGATGTAAGGGGTCTGAGAAAATATCCAAAGTTTGTGTCTTTCGACGTTTTTTCGAAGTACATGGACCATATTTGAATATAATTTGTTCACTCCCGGTATTACCAATATCTTTGTTATGTATCTCGTTGTAACTCCTCATTAATCTGTTTAGAGGAGCATAATAGCTAGATGCGACCGTGCTAACTTTGTGACGAATGGAGCGTATTTCTTATACCTGGGCGATTTTCTGGGAATAGCAAAATTAATATGAGATATAACGTTTGGAGCGTCGATGTAACAACCATTTATAATTTTGTAGAGGAATAAGATGTCCAATATCGCTCTGCGCTAGACGAGAGGTTTCATATGAAAGTATTTCAAATGATCATTATAGCTAGGCAAGAGTTTTGCTAAATTACAACTGTAAGTCAAGTGCCAGAGGAATCTTTTTTGTACACCTTCTATACGCTTTTTGTATACGTCGTGGTGCGGGTTCCACACCACGCTGCAGTATCCTAAGCTACTACCCACAAGTGATATATAGATTGCGATTTTTGTGCTCGGATTTTTAAACGCTCTACAGGTACGTAAGACAAACCCCAAGGTCTTGAAGGCTTTTTTTAGTAATGCTATCTATATGTAAATTAAATCGCAACTTGGTATCGAGAATTACACCCAAATCTCTAATATGATCAATCTCTTTTAATGGTACATCGTCAATACAATAATATCTAGTTACTGAGAGCTTTTCCCAGTGAAGCGTATCACGTGGCATTTGTCAATATTCAAGCTCATACCATTCGATTTGCACCATAATACTAGATTGTTCAAGTCATTTTGAAGCAACAATACATCCTCTAATGAATTTACTGATCTTAAAAACTTCAAATCATCGGCGAACATGTGAAACTCAGAATTTTGGAAACACTTACCGATATCATTAATAAAAACGTTGAACAGCATGGGACCCAGATGGGATCCTTGAGGAACTCCGGAAAAGGTAGTAAAAAAGCCAGATTTGAATCCCCCTGCTACCACCACAGACAGTTTGCTCGTTAGGTAAGATCTGAACCAGCGCAAGAGATTACCGACACATGATAATTTGTGCAATAACATATCGTGATTGACTTTATCAAAAGCGTTACTAAAGTCAGTGTATATGACATCGAAAGACAGCGCATGATCAACATCTTCGGCCAGGCCTTCAAGGAAGGATATCAGATTAGTCGTGGTAGAGTAGTCTTTTATAAAACCGTGGTGTTTCGGTGCAGTTAAGTGTCTTAGATGCCAAGACATTATAGGGCACAGTAGTTTTTCAAAGAATTTAGCAAACACCGTAATAATTGATATTGGCCTATAATTTTTCACTGAGTTTATATCACCTCCTTTGTATTTCGGTATAACAAGAGAAGTTTTCCAAGCGCTGGGAAAGGTTCCAGAACACAGAGATTTAATAATTATCAAGGACAGAGGTAAAGCTAGAGCACCAGCACATCTTACAGCAAAGATAGATGGTATTCCATCTGAGCCAGCGCCTTTAGCGGAGTCAAGTCTCTTTAAGACCCTAAATACTTGGTCTTCAGTCACTGAAATACTGATTTATCTGTATAGCGCTCGTCTGGAATGGATAGCTTATCAATATTTTAGACTGAAGAGAACTGTGAAGCAAAGAGTTCGCAGATATTCGGGCCAGTAGTGGCAAGAGTAGTTCTAGATGTCATTTGGGCGGGGTAGGTACTATTACTTATAGTAGTTCAGGATTTGATTTCAAAGATGTCTCTACTTATTTATAGTAGTTTAGGATTCGATTTCAAAGATGTTTCTAGTCGTAGCAAATAAGTTTTATAATTCTGGCTAAGTAATTTCGTATATCTATCTCTAAGTAGTTCAATGTTCAATAAATCCCGAGGGTTGTTAAACTTACGGTGTTTAGATCTGTATTTATATTTTTCCTTGATTACCTTAATTAACGTGTCTGAAAACCATATGGAGTATTTCTTAATATTACGAGGTTTTGACTTGGGTACATGTTTAACTATAATGGATTGAAGTACTTTATAGAAATGTGCTACCATGTCATCTACGTTT